ATATTATACACATTACCAACAACTAACCAATGAATGATAAATAATAATATATAGATTAACTTTAACTAAAGAATTATAATGCTTAAATATATATAAATAATTAACGAATATACTCCTACTCCTATACTATAATGAGAAGATATTATCTAATATGTGCTTAATATAATAATATGATAATATAAATCGTTAAATGATACCAGTATGTATAAATAGTTATAAATAAATATATTACCTCAATAGCACAAGAAGTATATGTTTTTATTACTATTATTATATATACCAATCACTAATATAACTTAGATACAATTGATATATATATGATAAATGGTAATTTATATGAAATAAAGTTTTTAATAACATAATGCATGATATAACATATAAATATTATATTATAGATGATATAATGATTAATTAGATTAATCAATTATTATAGTAATTAGTGTAATGGAGGTAATATATAACGATGAATAGATATACAATAACGATGATGATATAATAATATATACATTATATAAGTATAATATGATGATATTAAATAGTATATTATATAAGTAAACTAACTAATATATGATTGAATATAATAATTATTAATAAATAAAATAGTTAATGATAATTATATTAGTACGTAATAACAGTGATTATAACTTAGATATTACACATAGCTTATGCATAGATCAATACTAATTGAAATATTACATATTAATAAATCATATTAATACTGTATACTATGCAAATAGGTACAATATTAATCATATAACATAATAACTTATATAATTGATTATATAATTATCAATTGAATATATAATAGTGATATATTATCTAATGGGACTGATATTAAATATATTATATAAATAGAGTATATAATTAGATGATAATCGTAGTAATAGCAACTAAACAAGGATATTAATGATACTATGATATAGCATATAATATATGTGACTTGAGTATATAATAATAATGAGGATATACATTTAAATATACTATTTAATAAAATGCATTATATTATATATAGTATATGTTAAATTAATCATATATAGCAATCATATATGACATATAGATTATATAATACTCTACATCAACTTACATATTACAATTTAACATATAGATGAGTCATAGATACCTATGAATAGCACATAACAATGCATATATATGTAGCAGTGAAATAGATATATGATACTAATGTATAGAGTAATTATTACAATAATGGAATATAATAATGATTTTATATTAAATTAATCATATATGATGATATAAAACAATAATACTAGTTGATAAACATAATATAATAATAATGATAATGTCAATCAATATTGATAATGCATATAATCGATGAATAGTAATTAATGATATTGAATAGTATAATGATATTGATATAACAAAAACAACAACAACAATAAACTATCAAGCTCAATACATAAACAATCTCAAAACAATACTATTAATAGTAAATATATAATATGCTAGTAATATATAATAAATTATATAATTGATATATAATAATAATAATAGTATAATAAATAAATTGATATATTAATATTAAATATTAATAATATATATATATAATTACAATATAGTAATATAGATTGATAATATATAATAAATAATATAATGCTATAATATAATATTAATAATTCAGTATTAATTAGTGATAATTAAATGATAAATAATGTACTAGATATGATTAAATAGTATATATGTTGTAATGACATATATATGATATTATAATATAATATAATAGATTATAATGATATATAATTATATAATATAATAGATATGTAATGTATGATGTACTGCATAGTATAGAGTGTAATTGCATATTATATACATTGTGTGTCTGAACTGAATATCAGTATAGTGATGTAATATTAGCAATTAAAATTGACTTTTATATTCATATAACAGAAATTAAGATATCTTTAGGTTGATTATGACATAAAATGATGTTAACAATTTCTAGTAAACTTGATAACAAATACATATATTGATTTGTTCAATTATAATTACAGACTGTGAACAATAATATTCTTATCGTAACACAAGGCAAGATTAAGTGAAAATGGGATATACATTGCCTACTTATTCATTATACTATCAAGCGTGATAACTGTTCGAAATGATGTATAATATCTGAAACTAATGTCTATAGAAGCTATTCTAATTTCGACAAAAATAACATTATCTAGGTTATTGCATATGAGTAATGCTGAAGTAAAATAATAACTATTCGACATAGTCAAATTAATAGAGTACAGACAGACTAAAGAGTTATCTAACATTAATAATGATGAGATGATGATTAATCTAGATTAATAACTATTAATATAAGCCGAATAGTTATGATTCTCAGATTAGATCTATATTAATTAACAATAGTAAAATTATAATTTACGATAACTTGACGATAAATGGAGATTATATAATGAAAATTATAAACTAGCAAAAAGTAAGTGAAATGAGATTTTAAATGCAATTTATTTATATTTTTGCAATTTTTTTTTGGTTTAAATACTTTATACTTTAGTATAATTTATCATTCATCAATTCTCAATATTATCGAGATGAATGTTACTTAAGTTACATGAATATTATCGTCAATCTTGTATTAAATTTTAATGTATATACATTTATCTTGCAAGCGTATGTTATCTAATACAGTTTAACGACTTTTCATTGCTCTGTTTTCTGATAAATGCTCTAGTTTAATTATTGTATTAATACCTAGATTCAATTGATGATGTATATATTATTATTTATCATGTATATTTTAATTTCACGATTATCATCATTTTATCATTATATATTAATTTGTTTATTGATTACTTCTATCATTCATACTTTTTTTATCATTAATCATTATGTACAGTTTTTTAAATATATCATTCATCATCCGATGTTGATGTACATTAATGTTATGAATACATCCAATTAATATTAAATAGACGATGATCATTAATTTGTCTTAACTAATAATAATTTTAACTTTTCATAAATTTTGCATATAGAATTATCAAAGAACACATATCATTAGCTGCATAGAACTAATAGAGATATAAGAGTATGCAAAATAAAGATTAATATGATATTTAGTTGTTTATGGCTATTAATTTGAGAATGGTGTGTGTCATGTAGTGCGTTATTTGTGAGATGTAGTTGTATTATTTCTATAGATATAAGATTTAACATTTGAGTTAAATGACACTCATGATTACTACTTGCATAACATCGGAATCATTTTGATTCGATCTTATATAATCTAATTGCTAATAAGATAAATTAAATCATTTTAATTAACTATATACGTATTAAATTTATATTATTAATTATACTGACAGCTAGTTATTACTATTCCAAATTATATCATATGATATACTATTATTGCACTTTATATATCAAATATATCATTAATATTCCATCTACTTGTCATATTACTATTGACTATTTAATTATATCATATATATCCTTTAATAGTAGCAATTTATTAATCAGTCATTTAAGTG